CGCGCGGCGCCGGCGCCGAGCGCCGCTGGAAGCCCGGCGGCCGGCGCCGGCGCCGGCGCCGCCCAAGCCCACGGCCAGTAGCCGCTGGACCGCGCCGCCGGCATTGGGGCTGCCCCTAGCGGGCGGAACTAGTAGCTCGAGCCATCACCATTCTCTCTGGCAACACCATCAACACCTCGGCACCGTCGGCAGAGTGCCGCGGCTGAGGCTGTCCTCGATATGGCCATGCGTTTCGCTCGCGCCATGCGCCCCCTGGCGGCGGGGCCGGGGCGGCGACCCATGGGCGGCGGCCCGACGACGACGCACGTCACGTCGGGGGACCTGAAGAAGGTCGTGCAGGACATGCCGCCCGCGGGCGGCTACCCCGACGTCATCTTCAAAAAGGCGACGATCAACCGGGGCCCCGACGGGTGGATGATCTGGGTCGGGTCGCTGCTCACGGTCGCCTTCGGGTTCTACCGCGTGGGCCAGTGCAACCTCGAGCGGAACGCGGCGAAGAAGGAGAAGCGCGAGGCGCGCATGGCGATCGTGCCGTACCTCCAGGCCGAGGAGGACGCGCGCGCGGTCGCGGCCAAGCTGAACCAGGACGCCGACGAGGCGGAGATCATGAAGGGCGTCAAGGACTGGAAGGTCGGCGCGTCGGTCTACAACAGCGAGCGCTTCTGGGCGCCCCCGAGCCCCGTGGAGCACCCGCGCGCGTAGGCTCCGCCCCCGACGCCGTAGAGACCGCGCGTGCTCAGGACTAGCGAGGAGGGGGAAAGGGGGGAGGGGCGGGAGAGGGACGCCACGCTAGTGGACGGTCTCGATGTGGCGCTTCGCCTTGCCGAGCTCGACGGACTGGACCTGCTTCGCGAAGCGGAGCGAGCAGAGGGACTCGTTCGCGGAGCCCGGCGTGGGCGAGAGGTTGACGAAGAGGAGCGTCTTGCCGTCGCCGGAGAGGGCCGGCTGGAGGAGGAAGGTGAGCTTGGAGTCGCGGTAGGGCACGTGGGTCTGCTTGCGGTTGAGCGCGGAGAAGACGCCCGCGAGCGCGGAGAGGGACTTGTTGATGTGGGCCGCCTCCTTGGCGCGCTGGCCGACGGCGCCGGAGCGGTCGAGGCGCTCGGAGCCCGCGAGGTCCACGAGGTTGAGCGCGCCCTTGAGCCGCGCCTTCTTCTCCGCGTGCGTGCCCGTGAGGTGGAGCGTGAAGACCGCGTGCGACCGCGACGACACCGCGTTCATGTCCGTCGCGGCGACGCAGCGGTGCGTCGCCGCGCACTGCATGAGGTCGTCGACCATGGCCTTGTCGCCGGGGTCCACGGGCGTCCGCGTGCAGCCGTCGACGTAGACGCGGCCCGTCTTCGGGTCGCGGCGGACCTCGAGGCCCGCGGGCTTCGGGGGCCGCACGTCGCCGCCGGGCGCCGGCGCCGGCCCGTTGTCGGCGAGGAGGTCGCGGACCTGCTCGTTGTAGATCTCGACGTAGGACACCTCCATCTCGTAGGCCCAGCCGCGCGCGCGCTGCGCGTCGCAGTACGCGGCGACCTGCTCCATCGCGCGGGGGATGATGCCGCGCATGGGCCCCGTGCCCGTGCCCTGCATCGTGTGCGTCTTGCCGCTGCCCGTCTGGCCGTAGGAGAAGAGGCAGACCTGGTAGCCGTCGAGCGCGGACTGGACGAACTCCGCGACCTCGGTGAAGACGCGCTCCTGGCCCGTCGACGGGCCGAAGACGTGGTCGTAGGAGAAGAGCTCCTTGCGGCGCTTCCGCTTCTTGTCGCCGAAGGGCTCGCCGTCGGCGTCGTCGTCCTCGGCGGCGAGCGTCAGCGACGTGCCGTCGGCCATGTCGACGACGACGGGCGGCGCGTCCGCGGCCGCGCCGTCGCTCGGCAGGAACGGCCGCACGCGCGCGAAGACGCGGATGTTGCCCCGGAGCTCCTGGATCGTGTTGTGGAGCTTGCGCCGCGTCACGTCGGCGTCGCGCAGCTTCTCCTCCATCTCCGCGACGCGGCCCTCGCACGTCGCCGCGGCGTCGCGCGTCGCCTCCTCCGTCGCCGCGAGGCGCCGCCGCAGGGCCTCGACCTCGCCGCGGGCCTCGGAGAGGGCCAGGGCCTGCGCCTTGGCGTCGATCTCGTTCTTCTCGTCGAGCTCGGCGCGCAGCGACGCCAGCTCCGTCTCGCGCGCCGCGAGGCCCTCCGTCGCGGCGTCGAGCGCGCGGCGGTCCGCGGCCGCGCGCGCGGCGAGCGCCGCGTCGTTGGCCGCGCGGTCGTCGCCGAGGGCCGCCGCCTCGGCCTCGAAGGCCGCGCGGTCCAAATCGCAGCGGCCCTGGAGCGCGAGGAGCTGCGCGAGCGCGGCCGTCCGCTCGCGGCGCTCGCGCTCCTCCTTGGCCTCGGCCGTCGCGCGCAGCGACGCCTCGACGGCGCGCGCCTGCTCCGCGAGGTCCGCGTCGCGGGCCCGGGCGTCGCGCTCCGCCGCGGCGTCGCCCCGCGCCGCGTCCGCGTCCGCCGCGCGCGCCTCCGCGGCCGCGAGCGCCTTCTCCGCGGCCTCGGCGCGGAGCCGGAGCTCCGCGACCGCGGCGCTCTTCGCGAGGACCTCGGCGGCGAGGCGCTCGCGCTCCTCCTCGGCGCGCGCCGCGCGCTGGCGCAGCTCCTCCGTGCGCACCTCGTCCGTCGCGCGCCGCGTGTCGAGCTGGCCCCGGAGGTCGCGCGCGGCGGCCTCGGCGGCCGCGAGCGCCGCGCGCGTCTCCGCCGCGCCGCCGTCGGCGCGGGCGCTCGCCTCGCCGAGGCGGTCGCGCTCCGCCTCGCTCGCCGCGAGCTCGGACCGCAGCGCCTGGAGCGCGTCCGCGTGGCTCGCGACGGACGCCTCGAGGTGCGCGGCGCGCGCCTCGGCCGCGCGCGCCTCCGCGCGCGCGCTGGCGACGTTGGCGTCGCAGGCCGCGACGGCGGCGCTGACCTTGTCCTGCTCGTCGTGGCGCGCGACCTCGAGCTCGCTGAAGCGCCGCTGGTCCGCCTCGTCGGCGACGCGCGCGCGCGCGAGCGCCTCGGCCGCGTCGCGCTGCGCGACGAGGAGCGCCGCGCGCGCCTCCGTCGCGTGCGCCGACGCCATCTCCGCCTTGCCCTCGGCGCGCGCGATGGCCGCCGTCTGGTCCGCGAGGGACCGCCGCGCCGCCGCGGCCTCCGCGCGCGCCGCGTCGCGCTCCGCCGTCGCGTCCGCGAGGAGCCGCTCCGTCGCCGCGGTCGTCGCCGAGCTGCCCTCGGTCGCGACGCTCAGGCCCGCGCGCGCCTCGGCGAGGGCCGCGCGCAGCTCGTCGCGCTCGCGCTCCGCCGCCGCGACCCGGGACGCCTGCGCCGCCGTGCGGTCCTGGCCCGCGAGGAGCGTGCCCTCGACGAGGCCCGCGTCGCGCATCGACGCCTCCTTGAGGCTCACGAGCTCCGCGCTCGCGGCGCCGAGCGACTCCTTGAGCTCGGCGGCCTCGGCCTTGCCCTCGGCCGCCGCGGCCTCGGCGGCGTCGCGCGCCGTCGCCGCCGCCGCGAGCTTGACCTCGAGGAGCTTCGCGGCCTCCCGGGCCTGGTCGCGCTCGGACTCGATGCGCTCGAGCCGGTCGCCGAGGCCGCTCCCCGCGACGAGCGCCTTGTCGGCCTTGTCGGCCTTGTCGCGCTCCTCGGCCGCCGTCGCGAGGAGCTTGACCTCGATCTGGGACACGAGCGTCCCGAAGGCCTTGCGCTGCTCCGCGACGCGCGACAGCAGCGACCGCAGCGCGCCGAGCTTCTCGTCGCGCGCCTTGATCTTCGCCGTGACGTCCCAGCGCTGGCCCTTGGGCGCGCGCATCTTCTCGCAGGCCTCGGCGATGTCCTCGTCCGTCGAGCCCGCGAAGGTCGTCACGAGCAGGCCGGGCACGATCGGCGCCTTGCCGACGCTCTCGAGCATCGTGCTCATCTGCTCCGCGGCCCGGAGCGCGGCCTCGCTCTCGACCTCGGCGATGGGCGCGGCGGCCTCGCCCGGCGCCGCCGCGGCCGCGGCCGCGAGGCGCGCGCGCGCGCAGGGCATGATGGCCGACCGCGACACCGCGGCCGCGGTCGACGGCCGCGGCGCCGCCGCGGGCGGCGGCGGCGACCGCGACTTCGCGGGCCCGGACGCCGACGGCCGCGCGCTGCTCCGGCTCCGCGACGCCGCCGTCGTCGTCGCCGTCACGGACGACGCGCCCCGCCGCGCGGCCACGGTCGACGACTTGAGGTAGCTGAACCGCTCCTTGGCGACCTCCATCGATCGCCGCCGGCCCGTCCGGCCCCGCGCCGCCGCCTGGAGCGTCGTCGCCGCCCGGCCGGGCTGGGGGGCGGTCGCGCTGCGCGCCGCCGCGGGGCCCCGGGACTTGCTCCGGGCGGCGGCCGTCGCCGGGCGCGACGTGCTCCGCGACGGGCCGCCGCCGAACGCCCGGTACGACGGCTTCGGCTTCGACTCGGTCCGGCCCCGAGCGGCGGCGGCGAGCTTCGCGGCGGCCGTCGTCGGCGCGGGGGCGTCGTCGTCGGCGGCCGGCGCCGTGTTCGTCGTGTTCTTCAGAGCCGCCGCATTGTGGGCCTGCGGCATCGCGTCCGTCGACGTTTAACGACGTGCGGTTTCTTCACGGCGTCGCTCGGGGTTCAACGGTGTCCCGGCGCGTCTTTGAAGGGCTCACTAGCGTCTAGTAGCCCCGGGGTCGCAGCGGGCGCACTCACGCTCGCAGCTCGCAAGGAGCGCGCAGAGCCGCGCAATTAGCAACGACGCAATCGGTCTCAGCTCGCCAATGTTGCCGTCAAACATCAGTTGCATCTCAGCGTTTACGTCATTACCCCAATCCGGCGCAACGCTTTCAAGCGACGGTCTGAGAATCTTGCTCTGCGGTGCGCGCCTCGTCGTCGCTCTCCGGCCGCGTCTGTTGTCGAACCGCCAGCCTCGTCCGCGCCAGCCTCGGACGCCACCCAGAAGCAGTCCTGGAGCCCGCCAATTCCCCGGCGAGCATGACGCTGCCCATCTCCATCGTGCGGCCCATCGACTGCGCCTCGAGCAGCGGCGGCTCGAGCGCGACGCCGCGGCGGTGGTGCCCGGAGAGTCCAGCGAGCCACGCGGCGGAGGAGCGGCACTTCGGCGCCGAGCGCGTGCGCATGTTCCGCCGGAGCCCACACAGATCCGACGCGATTCGCGAGTCGCCGAGCCGCGCCGACGGATCCTCGAGGACGGCAGCCCAGGAGGCGCCGGCCTTCGTCTCCCGCGAGAACACGCCGGACTGCAAGAGGCGACCAAGCGACGAGGCCGCCGTCGTCAAGACCATCTGAACATGCTCGCGGGCGATCGCGGCCGCGGCGCGCCTCCTCGAGAGGCGCGCCGCGCCGCGCCTCCCGCCCGCAGCACGCCTCCCCGCCTCCCTGCTTGAGCATATACCACGGTGCAAACTGGACCCGTTTTGTTGTTAGGGTGGGGGTGTTTTCAGGCGCGAGGTCGTGCGCGGCGCGCGCGACGGGGGCGCGCGAAAAAACTCGGCGCGCCGCTCGCCGCGTCAGCGGGCGATCAACGTTCTGATTGGAGCAACTATCGTTGCGGTTGGGATTTTTTATCCGGCCGCGCGATTTATTTAGGTTTCTCCTATGTTGATCCGATGGTGAAGCTTGTGGCAGCCCATCGCGCGCGTCGCGCACCGCTGCGCCACAGCGCCGCTGCACCACGGCGCCGCCGCTGCGCCGCGGCGCCAGGCCAGCAGCGATGGCGAGTCCGACGCGCATCGTCGCGCTCTCGGCCAACTTCATCGCGCTCATGGTCGTGAGCAACGTGCTCGAGGAGTACCTCTACGCGCGGCTGCCGGGCTTCGACTTCTTCGAGACGACGGCCACCGTGGAGCTGCTGCTCTTCGCCGTCGCGTCCTGGTGCTCGCGCGACGCGGCGGCGCCGCGGAAGGCGCCGCTGCCGCTCTACGGCGCCATGGGCGTGTCGATGGCGCTCGGGCAGACGCTCGGCAAGCTCGCGAACAAGTACGTCAATTTCACGGTGTCGACGATCTTCAAGTGCAGCAAGGTCGCGCCGACCATGGTCGTGTCGTCGCTCTTCCTCGGCCGGCGCTACGACGCATACGAGGTCGCGGCCGTCGTCGTCATGGGCGCGGCCGCGGCCTGCTTCGCGCTCGGCGCCGCGGCCGTCGACGTGTCCTTCTCGTCGCGGGGCGTCGCCTGCAACGTGCTGTTTCTGTTCTTCGCGGCGGCCCAGGTCGGGCTGCAGGACGCCGCGCTGCGGGACTACGGCGCGTCCGTCGTCGAGGCCATGTTCCACGCGAACGCGTTCGGCCTCGCGTCCGTGGGCGGCGTCGCCCTCGTCGACGGCGAGCTCGGCCGGGCGCTGCTCTACTTCGCCGCGCGGCCCTGGGCCGTCGCGCTGCTCGTCGCGCGGACGCTGACGTTCTACCTCGCCGTGCGGTCCTACACGGTCCTCATCAAGGAGGCGGGCGGCGTCGCGGCCGTGACCGTCGGCATCGTCCGCAAGATTCTGACCATCGTCTGCTCGCTGATCGTCTACCCCAAGGCGTTCAGCATGAACTACGTCTACGGTGGGTGCCTCTTCGCCGCCGCGCTGGCCCTCGAGGCGAGGAACGGCCTGCGGAAGCACCGAAAAGCGGCACCGGTAAGTAAGGTTTAGCGCCGCCGCCGCCGGCGGTCCTCGGGCCGCAGGACGCCCGAGCCCGGGAGCGCCGGGTAGGCCGCGTAGATGCCCGGCCTGCCCGCGTCGTAGGCGTAGCCGAGCGCGCGCTCGACGGTCCGGTCGAGCCGCGAGACGAGCGCGGCCCAGTCCCGCGGGGACCAGGACGCGTTCTTCGGCGCCGTGAAGTGGGTGCCGCCGTCCTTGGCGCCGCCGAATTTGGCGTAGCCCTTGACGTAGCGGAAGGGCGACTCCGGGTCGTCCGGGTCGTGGTCGCAGTCGAAGCCGAGGTTCCGGAGCCTCCGGAAGAGGTAGACGGGCTCGCGGACGAGGTCCTCGTAGCGGCACCCCAGGACGTTGGCGTGGGACTTGCCGAAGCCCAGGTACTGGCCGTACTTCTGCCGCCGCAGGTCGAGGAGGTGGTCGAAGCCCTTGCCGCGCTCGCTGAACGGCGTCGACACGAACTTCTCGACGCCGCCGCCGATGCGGTCGATGGCCACGCTGTAGGCCGTCTTCTTCATCTTCAGCACCCAGTTCATGGCGTTGCGGTAGACGACGACGATCGCGTCCTTGGACTCGGCGGAGAACGTCGTCGGCAGGAAGTCGTGCTTCCAGCCGTACAGGCCGTCCGCGTCGAGCTTCGGCGACCAGTAGTGGCGCTCGCGGCAGTTGTCGTTGGTCATGACCCGCACCCAGCCCGTGCCGCAGTGGCGCTCGCCGCGGATGGAGATCGCCGCGCCGAACCGCGCGCCGTGGTCCGCGGCCCGCTTGTACTGCTCGAACGTCTGGCGGCCGTGCGCCTTGACGAAGTCCGGGTGGTAGCGCTCGCCGCTCTCCTTCTGCGCGCGCGCGACGGCGCGGTCGAGCACGTCCCTCGGCAGATCCGCCCGGTTCCGGCAGTCCAGGCCCATGCGGTACTGGTCGCCGTCGCCGCAGAAGCCGGCGCGCGAGCACCAGTGCACGCAGCCCACGTCCGGGATCGTCGCCGTGCCGCCGTCGCTCTGGCCGCCGGACTTGCACCGCAGGCACATGCTGCCGCGGTGGTCCTTGGCCGTCGCGATCGCCGCGGCGAGGGCCAGCAGCGGCGCGACGAGGCGCTCCATCGTCGTTTGGGGCTGCCGAGGCGGCGCTCCGAAGGAGCTCGATCCTCTGTCCGCGACGACGACACGCGCATCAACATCGCGTAGAGCGTCGTCGAGCGCCGCACCCTGCGCCCAACCATGCGCGCTGTCCTATTGCTCCTCGTTAGCGCGAGCGCGCTGAAGCCGGCGACGACGCTCGACCGGCGGCAGCTGGGCTCGGCCGTCGTCGGCGCCGCCGGCGCCGCACTGCTGCCGCAGACGGCGTCGGCCAAGGGCCGCGCCACGCAACCCGCCAACTACCTGCGCTACAACCCGCGCATCGAGAAGCTCGGCGAGTACATCGTCGGCGACGCCGTGAGCGAGCTCCAGACGGCGAATTGGGCGAAGCTCGTCGACGACACCGCCGCCGAGCTCGGCAAGAAGGGCGGCAAGATCGGCGTCTTCTGCAACGGCGAGCTCGCCGCGGACCTCTGGGCGAACACCTACAGCGACGTCAAGGAGAGCGACAAGACCAAGGCGATGAAGGCCGAGGTCGACAAGATGATCGCCGCGCGCGAGACGCTCGCGGACGTCGGCTGCCGAGGCATGGGCACGTGCCTCAAGAAGGAGGGCGGCCTCTTCGGCTTCGGCGCCAAGGAGGCGCCGCGACCGTCGAACCAGCAGCTCGTCAACGAGGGCGCCGCCGCCCTCGGCGCCGCGAAGCAGGCCTACAACACGTTCGTCGCGCTCAACAACCAGAACCTCCCCTTCGACCTCAACCCGATGAAGACGATCTAGGCCTGGTTGCCCGTAAAGACGAACGCAGTCCGTGGATTTCCTTATCGGGAGCGAGCGGCGAGCGACGCACATGTCGGCTGCAACATGACTGCAACAAAGCATCAATCCGTCGACGAAGCCGTCGAAGCCGCGTCGCAAATTATGGTCGGCTTCCTGCGGCTGTTTTTGGCCGCCTTGCCGCTCGTCGGCGGGAACCGCGCGAAGCTGCTCCGGCAGAATGCGAACCAGGTCGAGGTGACCTTCGAGAATCCCTACCCGGAGGCGCGGGAGCTCTTCTGGATCGGCACGGAGGAGCCCGTGTCCATGGGCGTGCTCGACGCGAGCGGCGGGTCCATGAACATGAACTCGTACCACGGGCACACCTTCGGGTGGCGGCTCGCGGCCCACGGCGACCAGGAGTGCACGTCGGACCTGCTCGAGGGCCGGGTGACCGTCGCGCGCGGCATGGAGCGCCACGTGCTCGGCGAGGCGCCCGTCGTCAAGGACCTGGACGTCGAGAAGCGCGAGTCGGAACGCAACGACCCCTTCGAGGCCAAGTTCGTGAACAGGGCCCAGTTCCCCATGACGCTGACGAACGTCGAGACGGGCGAGTCGCGCGACGTGCCCGCGAACGACGCGCTGCCGATGATGGTGGAGCGGGGCAAGCTCTACGACTGGCGCGACAAGGAGACGGGCGAGCTCCTCTACCGGTCCGTCATCGAGTTCTACAAGCAGACGACCCACGTCTTCAAGGAGGAGAAGCACACGCGGCTCTGCGCGGAGTCGACGCCGGCGACGACGCCCGTCGTCAACAAGACGTACGCCGACGCCTACGACGGCCGGGACCTCGAGGTCCAGGTGCTGAGCGAGGACCCCTTCATCGCCTACATGCCCGAGTGGACCCTGGGCGACGAGTGCGCCGACATGGAGGGCCAGGCGCGGAAGATCGGCATGAGCGACGCGCAGGTCTTCGGCGAGCGGACCGTCATCGCGGACCGCCGCGCCATCTCCGCGAACCTGAACTGGAGCGACCGCAACAAGACCTCCGTGAACAACCGCCTCATCAACCGCGCCTTCGAGTTCGCGCGCGTCCAGCGCCGCTACAAGCTCGACACGGGCTCCTTCCAGGAGCCGCTGAACTTCATCCAGTACGCGGTCGCGGGCGAGTACCGGCCCCACTGCGACGGCGTCTGCAACCGCAAGCCCTACGCGCGCGGCGGCCGCGTCGCGACGCTCATCCACTACTGCAAGGCCGCGGACGTCGGCGGCGGCACCGTGTTCCCGAAGGCGAACATCAAGGTCCAGCCGCGGGACGGCTCCGCGGTGCTCTTCGCCTACAAGCGCGACGACGGCTACATGGACGACGGCAACACCATGCACACGGGCTGCCTCGTGCGCGAGGGCTACAAGCAGATCGTCACGATGTGGATGCGCGAGGACGTCACGCCGAGGGAGCCCTGGAGCGACTTCATGTCCTAGGCCGCCCCGCCTAAAATTCACATCGTCGCGGCGCCCCGGGGAGCCCCTACGTCGTCGGAATAGAGGCGCCGCTCCTCGCGGTTTTGGTACCGCGAAGCCCGTGGGCGTCGTGGGCGACTCGGCGCGCCCGATAACACCGTTTTCCGACCGTCTTGCATGGCGCGGGGCTCGTATCGGCTCGCGAGCCGTCGCCGGACGTCCCGAAGAGGCCCTATCTCGGCTGTTTTGTGTCGAGCGGCTTCGCTCGGCGGCTCTGGCGGGACGGCCTGGTCGACGGGGAAGTCGCTCGTGCTATCTAGCTATAGCTTTTTGGCACCGGAAGTATTTTTAAATTCGACGTTCGCGTCTCGGGGCTCGTTTCGGGGCCGCGGGAATCAGTTATTTCGATCGAAGAAACGCGAGCGACGTCGAAGGGCCGCTTCCGAGGTCCGAGTCGACCGGATTCCTCGAGATAGAGAGCAATCATTCACAGATGAGGGCCTAGAACTAGTCTTAAAACTCAAATAACCGCGTCTCGCCGAACCGTCCGGGGTGTTTTGGCGAATAATTTCAATGGAGGCCACTCTTTACCGAAAGAGTAGCTCAAAGCGCCGAATTTCGCACATCTTCGAGGCATCGCGCCGTGCTGATCACCGCGGGACTCGTATTTCCAGGGTTTATAAATTACCGTTCGTCGTCGAAGTTCGGTCGACGTTTTAACGCGCGAGATGCGCCCCACCCCGTGGCCCCGGCTATTGGAGTCCGAGTTCATGCACTGGGATCGGTCCTCGATCGGGCTGACCGGGCTAAATGTCGCGCCTGGCGCGCGCGCGCGCGCTACCGCGCCGGGAGCCCTATTCGGGGCTCCGAGGCTGGAAAAATACCTATAAACACGGAGATTTCTGCTCCACGCCGTGTTTGGGACGCCCCTGGGCTTGGTTATGATCCAACGTGTGCAGCAGTATGCGGATGACGGCGATACACGCCTATAGTGGCCAGTTGTGGCCCTCTGAGCATGCTCTGGAACCCAGATGTCCGCGCGCCTGAACAGGCGAAACTCCCAGGAACGCAGTGAGTATGGCCAGGGCACATGACCAAGGTGCCCGAGTGTGATACAAACGACGACCGCGACCCCAGCCCATCCCGAGAGGATGCGAAGGACACACTTTTATTTTTTTTTATGTTACTAGTAATTAAAAACGACGCGCGCCCCGCGCGGTCCTAGAGCGCGTGCCACGTCCGCGTCGCGTCGATGGAGGACATGTTGCGCTTGCGCGTCTGGCGCAGGAGGCGCTGGACCGTCGTCGCGTCGTTCGTCGGCGCGACGAACTTGGACGGCTTGCGGAAGAGCGCGCGGCCCGCGTCGGCGGCCGCGGCCGCGCGCGCGGGGTCGCCCGGCCGGACGTCCGCGGACCGCGAGCTCGGGCCCGACGCGCCCGGAGCGGCGTCGACCTGGCGGCTCGAGCTCCGCGTGTCGCCCCGCGACTGGCGGCTCGTCTGCCGCGACGTCCGCGAGTCGCGCGTCGACGCGCGCGAGATGCCGGGCAGCGGCGCGGCGACCGCGCGCGGCGACGCGCCCGGGAGCCGCTTCGACAGGGCGCTCTTGGGCCCCTTGGCGGACGCGCGCGCGAGCTTCTTGGCCTTGTAGGCCTCGAAGCCGCCGCCGGCGGACCTGGAGTGCGCGTCGAAGGTCGCGAGGCGCCGCCGCGCCTCGTCGAGCGAGATGCCGCCGCCGAACGACGACGACGACGGCGCGAGGATGACGGCGTCGCGCGGCGACACGGACTTGGCCGGCGTCAGCAGCTCCAGGTCGAGCTGGTCGCTCTTCGAGGCGAGCGGCAGCTTCGGCAGCGCGGGCAGCGCGCGCCGCGAGTCCGCGAGCGCGAGGCGAGTTTCGGGCTCGCGCGGCGACGCCGCGGGCAGCGCGGGCAGGCGCGTCGGCGACGGCGACCGGTCCTCGGGCGCGTCGTCCGCGCTCCCCGCCCGCGGCGCCGCGTAGGCGCGCCGGAGCACGTTCGTGTAGGTCCAGTCGACGATGAGCAGCGTCGACGCGCGGATCTCCGCGAGCAGCTTCGGCTGGTGCTGGCGGAAGTAGGCCGCGGGGCATTTCATGACGACGGACTGGGCCGTCGCCAGGAGCGCCAGGTCCATGGACGGGTCCGGCGTCGGCGACCCCGTCCGCGAGAAGGCGTAGAACTTGCCGACCATGGCCACGGGCGCCGTCGTCCGGCTCTCGGAGACGCCGCGCGGGCTCCGCTTCGACGCGTCGCCGTCCTTCGTGAGCGACCGCTTGATGAGCACGAGCTGGCACTCGCCGCTGTAGACGACGTAGACGTCGTCGCCGACGTCGTCCTCCGTCTTCGCGGACCCGCGCGGGATCGTCAGCGGCTGGAGCCGCGTCCGCAGCGCGACGATGTCGCCCAGGGACATCTCCGCCAGCAGCGGCATGTCCCGCAGGAAGGCGCAGAGCTCGACCTCCTCCTTGTCGTAGATGCAGTGCCAGTGGGGCCAGTACGTGCCCTCCGTGAGCGCGACGAGCAGGACCATGCTCCGCGCCCTATACCCGACGGGCGAGAACCGCTTGCGGTAGAGCAGGGGCTCGTGGCCGAACTGGCCCCCGGCGTAGAGCTCGCCGACGGCGGCGCCCGCGTTGGCCTCGTGGAAGATGTCGACGACGCCGAAGGCCACGAGGAAGACGCGCCGCGCGGCCGCGCCGGGCTCGACGACGACGTCGCCGCTCTCGTAGAGCTCGCAGGTCAGGCGCGGCAGGAGGCGCTGGAGCGCGTCCTCGCCCATGCCGGCAAAGGCGTCGAGGTTGCGCAGGAGCTCGTCGTAGAAGCGCATGCGCAGGCCGCTCCAGAGGCTCACCGTCGACTCCGCGTTGCCCCGCTTCTTCCGGTCCCGCCGGCCGCTCTTCACGGGCGCGCCCGCGGGCGGCTCGGCCTCCGTGGACCGGCCCTCGGCGAGCATGCGCGCCTCGTACTTGTTCATCTGGTCGAGGCGGCTCTTGAGGAGCGACGGCCGCAGCTGGCGCGGCGCGCGGCTCCCGCGCCCCCGGCCGTCGAAGACGGCGGCGTACTCCGTGTGGCTCAGCACGAGCACCTCCGTGACCTCCGTCGCCACCGTCGTCGCGGAGCGCATGACGGGCCCCCGCGGCGACGGCTCGCCGAAGCCGTCGCCGGCGACGAGCGTGCACAGGTACTGGCCGTAGCCCATCCGCCGGCCGAGGCCGTCCTCCGTCTCCGTGTTCTCGAGCGCGATCTTCCGCGTCTGCGTGCAGAGCTTGAGCACCTCGTCCTGGCAGCTCCGCGACACCTCCGACGTCATGTAGGCGGCGACGGCGCCCTGGAGGATGAGGTAGAAGTCCTCGTCCTCGTCCGGCGCGTAGTCGTCGTAGACGCCGTCGACGTCGAGCTCGTCCCAGATTACCTCGCCCACGGCGATCTCGCGCACCCAGACCAGGCGGCAGATGTCGCGCTTCGTCGCCTCGCTGTGCTCCTCGAAGAGGTGGTTCCGCGCGAAGAACTCGACGAGCGCCTGGATGTCGCCCTCGGTCCGCGCCGTGCTCGGCTTGTGGCGGAGCACGTGGCGGCACTGCTCGGCGCGCAGCATGTCGCGCACGGACGGCGTCGCCACGGGCGACGGCAGGCCCTGGTTCAGGGCCTCGGCGAGGTGGCGCGCGTCGAGCTGGCGCTGGTGCCAGTCGTTCCACTTGAGGATGAAGTCGCGGTCGATGCGCATGAGCGCCGCGGTCGGCGTCAGCACGACCGTGGAGTGGGACCGCGCGAAGGCCGTCGTCGACAGCAGGTACTCGCCGCCGAAGGTGTCGCCGGGGCCGATGATGGCGATGCAGGACGCGGAGCTCGAGATGCCGCACTCGGGCACCGCGACGTCGAGGCTCCGGTTCGGGTCCGCGACGCGGGACCCCCGGCGCTGGCGCGCGCCGTCCATGGTCTTGCGCCGCACCATGACGGGCTGGCGGCCCTTGCCCTTGTTCAGCGACGCGCGCGCGGCCGCCGCGGAGCTCGGCTCGTCCGCGGCGGCCGAGCTCGTCGCCATGACCTGGAAGATGCCCACCTGGCCCGAGATGATGAGGTAGAAGTGGTCCCGCTCCTGGCCCTGGTGGTACACGATGTTGTTGCGCGCGTAGTTCTTGAGGTGGATGCCCGGGAGCAGGATGCGCAGCACGTCCGCGCCGACGCGGCGGAAGAACGCGAAGTTGAGCAGGAAGCTGAAGAGCAGCCGCGCCGCGCGGTCCGTGCGCTTCTCCAGGGGCGCCTGGAGCAGCTCGAGGGAGAGCTCCTGGTTTAGCACGAGGCCGTCGCTGTGGACGTCGTCGAAGGCGCCGCTGTCGAGCACGAGGAGCAGGCTGTCGCGCCGCGCGACGACGGACGCGTTCCGCGGCGCCGTGAAGATGAGGCTCCGCTCGCCGAAGGAGTCGCCGGCGTGGAGCGTGTGGATGCGGTGGCCCAGCGCCTCGTTGTGCTCGCCCGTATATTCCGGCTCGACGTCGACGTCGACGGACCGCCGCGCGGCCGCGGCGACGGAGCCGTCGCGGCCGCCGTAGTCGTCGTCGTCGTCGTCGTCGTCGTCGTCGTCGGAGTCGGTGAACTCGATGTCGAAGGAGCGACGCTGGCCGCTGCCGCCGGCGCCCTTGGCGTGGCGGTGGGACGCGCCGAACTGGCGCTGGCCCGCCGTGGCGGCCGCGCCCGCGTACGAGACGCCCGCGCCCGCGCCCGTGCCGATCGCGCGGCCGCCGCCGTTGACCGTGGCCCCGAAGCCCCGGCCCGCGGAGACCATCTTGCCCATCTTCACGGCGGCCGTGCCGAAGCCCCGCGTCGGCGACGCCGGCGGCTTCGCCGGCGACTTCTCCGGCGACGGCGCGCGGTCCGCCTCCTCGGCCTTGGCCTTGGACCGGCGGACGAACGCGGACCGGAACCGCTCCGCGTCCGCGGCCTCGTCGTCGTCGCCGCGCTTGTAGACGCTCGCCGAGCCCGTCACGAGCAGGTAGAAGCTCGAGCCGATCTCGTCCTGGAAGCAGATGGGGTGGCCCTGGCTCGCGTGCTGGACGACGAGGCGGCCGCAGAGGCTCGTGCGCTGCTCCGTCGTGAGCTTGCCGAAGCAGCCGCCGACGCCGCGGCGGCCCGCGCCGACGCAGGAGCAGTGCTTGAAGAGCAGCTCCGTGTCCTCGGGCGTCCGGAGCGACGGCGGCCGGTTCAGCACCTGGAGCACCGTCGCGATGGGGTAGATGAGCGCGCGCTGCGCGAGCACGCGGCCGACGGCGCGGCGGTAGTGCGACGGCGAGACGACGACGATGTCGGAGCGCTCGACGGCGCGGAAGCTCTCCGACGGCACGCCGCCCTCCTTCGTCGCGTTCGAGAGGAAGAGGTTGTCGCCGGGCTGGTAGTCGCGCGGCGCGCCGCCGGCCTCGTCGCTGTGGCGCACGGACCCGCGCACGATGAAGTAGAGCCAGTCGGCGCGCACGGACTCGTAGTTGGCCTGCCCCGCGCCGGGCTTCTCGTTGGCCGCGCGCGCGCCCATGATCTGGTTCAGGAGCTGCATGTTCGCCGTCGACCGGCTCGACGACTCCTGGCTCTCGACGATGAAGAACTTGTCGTTGCACTCGATGGAGAAGAGCACGGCCTCGGACGCGAGCTGGGCCGTCGCTTTCCGCCTACCGATGATGACGATTCTTTCGTCGATTCTTTCGTCGTCGTCCCGCCCCCGTCCCCCGATGCGCCCCCGCTTCGTCGTCGTCCCGCCCCCGTCCCCGTCCCCCGCCCCCGTCCCCGTCCCCCGCCCCCGTCCCCGTCCCCCGCCCCCGTCCCCGCGCCGTGAAACGTCTCTCGAAAGTCGTCGCGGACGCGGCGTCGCGCGGGAGCTGCTTGAAGAAGTCGAAGGTGTTGAGGAGGCCCGCGAGGTCCTTGGTGAGCTCCGGCGGCCGCTGCCGCGGCTCGCCGTACTCGAGGATCTGCACGATGCGGTCGACGACGGAGCCCGAGTAGGAGGAGCTCGGGTAGGCCCGCTTCGGCTCCTTCTTCTTGTCCGGGTAGAGGTCGGTGCGCTTGACGACGAGGACGATGCAGTCCGACGCCGCGACGTAGTTCTCGGGCCAGCGCTCCTTGGCCGCGTCCGCGCCCTTGGCGAGGTCGCCGTCGTCGGGCGCGACCAGCGCGCTCTCGCCGAAGACGGCGCCTTTGGCGAGCTTGCGCTCCTCGGCGCCGTCGGCGCCGCCCGCCGTCTTGACGAGTCCGTGGTAGATGAGGTGGAGCGCCGCGACGCGCTGGTCCTTGACGACGATCGTGTCGCCCTCCGTCGCCTCGACGAACGTCACGGCGCGGAAGAACGCGTTGAGCTGGACGGCGGACATCGTCGCGAGCATGGGCAGCTGGTCGTCGAACTCGTGGATCGTCTCCTTGATGGCGTCGACGTCCTTGACCGTGCGCTTCTTCGAGATGTGACCCAGGGCCTCGAAGAGGTTCGGCTTGCCCTCCTTGACCTGCGCGCACGTCGCCTGCTCCGCGTCCTCGTCCTTCTCTTCGATGACGGTCTGCTCCTTCTCCTTCGTCGCGTCGCGCGCCGACGACTGCTGGAGGGACTCGGGCTTGAAGGACTTGCTCAGCATCTGCATCGTCGCCCGCACGGCGTCGTGGGACCGCTGGGCGGCGCCGAACTGGCGCGACGACGCCGTGAGCGACTTGCCCTGCATGCCGAGGCCCGGCGGCCGCGGCGCGTGGTGCGCGGCGCGGCCCGACCGCCGGCCGGGCGACGGCTCCTCGTCCTCGTCCTCCTCGAAGATGGCGTCCTCGTCGACGTGGCCCAGGCCGTGGGCCTCGTGGATGAAGCCCTCGGCGTTCTTGATGGCCCGCGCGGTCCTCAGGCCCTTCGACGCCGCGGACGCCGCGGCCTGGAACATGGCCTTGGTCTGCTGCTTCTTGAGCTTCGGGCCCGGCCGCGTCGACGCGCGGCCCGGCGCCGCCTTGACGGTCTGGCGGCCGCCGCGCATCGCGGCCTGCTCGCGCTTTCGTTGGGAGCTCCGCGGCGACGCGACGCCGCTCGACCGCGGCGACGCCGGCGGCGCGGGCTGCGGCGGCGGCGGCGCGTCGCCGTTCGCCTGCGCCTCGAGCACGCTCCGCGGCGGGGGCAGGCCCTCGTTGAAGTTCCGCGTCGACGTCTTGTTGAGCGTGTTGCGCCCGCCGCGGCTCAGCCGCTTCATGTTCTGGAGGTAGCGCTCCCGCGCGCCCTCGTGCGCCATGGTGAGCGAGGCGCGGAGGCGCTACGCCGGAGGCGAGGTTTTGCCTCGGCCAGCGGCGACGCCTCAGCCGTGTGCCTTGGCCACTGGCGACGCGTCAGCCGTGCACAATTCCCTTTTCATAGCACTATGTACAATTGTAGTGGTTACAGAGAGTCAATGTTGGCTGCGCGGCGAGGCAACATCGGCGCTGCGCACTCGTTGCTGTAGCAGCTTGCCATTGCGATTATGGACCGTCGCAGATCCTGCGTGCTAGCGGCGCTGCTGGCGACCGCGAGCGCGTTCGCGCCGCGCGCGGCGCCGCGCTGCGGCGTCGCCGTCTCGGAAAGTCCGCTGGACCGCCTCGGCGGGCTCCTGGGCGGCAAGAAGGCGGCGCCGCCGCCGATCGTCGAGGACGTCGCCGTCGACGACGTCGCGCCCGGCGAGATGACGACGGCGGTCGAGGGCCTCACGCCGGAGCTCGACGGGCTGCGCAAGGCGAACGCGCTCTTCAACCAGGGCCTCATCGGCCGCGACGAGATCGACGAGTACAGCCGGACCTTGGGAGAGGCGCAGCGCGAGAAGGCGCGCGCGGCGGCCGCCGCCGCCGCCGCGGAGAAGAAGCGCGAGCGGGAGCGCCGCGAGGCGTCGGAGCGCGTCGCGAACGCGTCGCTGTCCGCGGCGTCGTTCGTCGCCGGCGCGGCGGGGAACGCGGCGCGGGGCCTCGCGGGCGCGGCCGCGGCCGCGGCCGTCGGCGCGACGAAGAGCGCGGCGTCGGCGGCGGCGGGCGGCGTCGCCGGCATGGCCAAGGGCGCCGTCGGCGGCGCCGCGGACCTCGCGGCGGGCGCCGTCAAGGGCCTGGCGGGCGCCGTCGTCGACGCCGCGGTCGTCAAGCCCGCCAAAGCCGTCGGCGACAAGGTCGCCTACGAGCTCGGCGCGCCGAAGCGCGCCGTCGACGCCGCCGCCGCCGAGGCCGCCGCGGCGCCCGGCCGCGCCGCCGACCGGCTCAAGGCCGAGGCCGACGCCGCGCGCGCGGCGGCCGACGCCGCGGCGGAGGACGCGCGGCTCGCGGCGCTCGCGCGCGCGGACGGCGCGCGCGCGAGCGTCCAGGACGTCGTCGACTCCGTCGCGACGCTGCCGGACGCGACGCGCCGCGCCGCCAAGGCGAGCGTCACCGTGCTCCGCGGCTTCTCGGCGCTCGCGGCCGAGAGCGGCAAGGAGGAGGTCGTCGAGGCCGACTTCGCCGCCGCGGCGAGCGAGACCAAGGGCACGGCCCTCGCCGTCGACGAGGGCGTGCGCGTCGAGAGCGAGGTCGTCCTCGACGACGGCGACGTCTTCGACCCCGGCCTCGAGGACGACCCGGGCGCGATCTTCTCGGCCGTCGCCCGCGCGGGGCTCGCGGCCGCGGCCAAGGTCACGTGGGGACGCCGGCGTCTCTTTCTTTTCACGTCGCGCGTCGTTCCGATGCCCGTGGCGAATCCCTTACTTCCCCATCCGTCGCCCGTCGTTCCGAGGCGGCCAACGTTCCCTGTGGCGAGTTCCTCGCTTCCCATCCGTCGCGCGTCGTTCCGAGGCGGCCAACGCACCCGTGGCTCGCAGTCTATTTTAGCGCGACGAAGAGAGACGACGCCGGGGCGAGCGCGCGCGGACGCCCGCGCGTCGCGGAGCCTCCGCGCCGACACCCTTCCTCGCAGGGGCGACAAGGCCAAGGAGCTCACGGAATCCGTCGTCGCGGACACCAAGGCCGCCGCGCGCGCGGCCGCGGAGGAGAAGGTCGCGGAGAAGCAGTTCAAGGCCGCGGCGGAGAAGGCCCGCGCCGACGAGCTCCAGCGCCAGGAGTACAAGTACGAGACCGCCGCGGCCAAGGTCGAGCGCGAGGCGCTGCTCGCGGCGCGCGACCGCCTCGCCCTCGACCCCGCGGCCGCCGACGAGCAGCGGACCGCGCTCGTCGACCCCAAGCGCGCGCCCGCGTGGGATCTGTTTTTCTCGCGGCGCACTGAGGCGGCCCTACCCCACCCCGCGCCGCGACGACGACGGACTCGCGCCGCGTCGCCCGATCCGTTCCCGCCCCGCAGGCTCCAGTCCGAGGTCGCGGAGCAGCTCGTCGCGCGGACCGAGGCCCTCAAGCGCGCCCGCGACGCGCGCCTGCCCGCGCCCGCGGCGAAGCCCCCGCCCGTGCGGCCCGCGGCGCCGCTCGGGCCCCTCTTCGACCGCGCCGCCGACGACCGCGAGCGCGCCGCGGCGGCGTCCGCGATGGCGCGGGACCGCCTCCAGGAGGCCAGCGACAGCCTCCTCCTGGAGGCCAACTACCTCGACGACGACACGCGGGCGAAGCTCGCCGCGGACCTCGCGGCGCGCCTCGTCAAGAAGACGGAGGCGGCCGCGGAGGAGAAGCGGCGGGAGAAGTCCTGAGCGCGGCGCTCGTAACGTTGGAAGACGAGGCTTTGTGGATCGGCGGTTTTTGAGGTGGGGCGAGTTGAGGTTGCGTTGTGTTGGTGGATTGGCGCTGGGCCTCGGGTGGCTCGATGTAGCCTCGATGTGTGCGACGGCTCGAATCGGCGACCCTTTTTGAAATCAGGCCTTCGCACTGGCAAAAAATTTGATCTGAATCACACACGCGCGCGCGCGTTCGCTCCGCGCTCGGACCCGCGGATTGAGCAAGTTCTCGTCGTCGACGGCGGCCACGCTCAAATGGCGTTGGCCCACGCCGTGGCGGCCATGGATTGGCACAAACTTGCTGAAGACGGCAACCCAACCAACCAGTACATAGTTCAGAGCGGAATCAGGCTGGGCCATGTGGGAGTCAACGACCCCGTGAGTGTCTACGGAGCGACGATGCTGCACGGCGCGGCCTGGCGGAATCAGCCGCACATGCTGGCTCTTCTGCTCGAAGAGGGCGCGGACGCGAATGCTGCCGACGATCAGGGACGGACCGCGCTTCACAAAGCGGCGCGAGGCGGATTTCCAGGAATAGTCACTCAGTTGATCGCCGCTGGCGCGGACGCAGACGCCCGCTGCTCTCTTGGATACACGCCGTTACTTGAGTGTGCGGCGATGCGTTTGATCAAGGCTCCGGGCCACGGCGGCCGTGAAGATTTGAGTTTATTGAGGTATCATCTCAAGGCTGATCATTTTGTTCTCCGCCACGGATGTGCCGAAATTCTCGTCTGGGCCGGCGCCGACGTCAACGTAGCGGTCGACGGGAAAACGCCGCTCATCCAAGCGCTCAAAGCCGGCAAGCGCGGCCTCGTGAAGATGTATTTGCGCGCGGGCTCCGCCATCCCGCGCCTCCGCCCCGAGACGCGCGAAGAAGATGCGCACATCCTTGTGAAGGCCGTCACGGCCGCTGGCGGCTGGAACGAATTCGTGAAGAGCCACAAGCGCGTCCTCGCGTGCGCGGTCTCCAAGATCAACAATTTGCCCCACGACGTCGCGCGCGCCGTCGTCGAATACTGGTGCCCCCCGGGCGGCTACTAGTTCTAAGTGAATCCTACCCTTGACAGTGGACTCGACCTTTCCAGTCCGACCGCTCGAGCGGGCGAGCTCACCCTTACTACCCCTCGCCGTACGCGTCCGGTGGCGACTCGAGTCTTAGCGAGTCGACTCGAGTCGAGACGCCGGCTGTGGCGAGACCCGAAGCCAGACGTCTTGCCCGCGCGATCCACACACGGACGCGCACAGGAGACGAGAGACGCACGACATGGACCCGGAGCTGATCAAGAAGAAGCGAGAGTACGAGGAGCGCAAGGCCCGTACGAAGTTGGCACTGAAGCAGTGCACGATTTGCGGCGCAGAAAATGCGAAGCTCTGCCAAGGTTGCGGGACGACGGCCTACTGTTCGACGGATTGTCAACGCATCGATTGGCGCGACCGGGGCCACCGGAAGGCCTGCAAGAAGATCCAGGCCGCGGAGGCGGCGCGCGCGGAGGCGCCGACGCCATCGCCGTCGCCGCCGAAGGAAGTCTTCTACGGCCCCGCGCCGCGGTCGCACGCCGACGAGGTGCGCGCGCGCATCGCTGCGGAGCACGCGGCCGCACGCGTGCGCCGTGAGGCGAACCCGGAGCCGGAGCCGGTCCACGGCGCGCGGTTCGGGTCGCGGTGCCCGATTTGCCTCGAGGACTGGGACGTGAACGAGCACCCTCCAATTCTGTTCTGTTGCGCCCGGACGGTCTGCATGTCGTGCGCGGAGAAAATCCAAGGCATGCCGTGTCCTCTCTGTCGGACACCGTGGCCAAAGTCAAAAATAGAGTCCCTGGCTCTGCTTCGTCATCACGTGGAGAACGAGGTGCCGGAAGCGATCTGCGTTTTGGGCGAGTGGTACCAAGAAGGTGTTGCCGATCTCATGCAGTCCTCCAAGAAAGCGGCGAAGCTTTATAAGCGCGCCGCAGAGCTCGGGTCTTCGCGGGCGATGCAGGCCCTGGGTTGCCTGTACGAACACGGCGACGGTGTCAAGAGGAATGCGAAGAAGGCAAAGCAGCTGTATGGAATGGCCGCGGCGCGGGGCGACGCCGCGGGACAGATTTCATTTGGTACAATGATCCAGTATGAACCTGGCGGGGACCTGGATGAGGCAAAGCGCTGGTACGAACGCGCCGCGGCCCGAGGCCATCGAGTTGCAATGAACGCTCTGGAGCATCTCCGTATTGCTCCGGCGCCCCCGACGGACGTCGAGCTTCGTTTCAACGTCGGAGATTCGGTGATTTGCTGCGCTGGTGAAGACCACAGCTCGGCCGCCGGCAAGATCGTCGCCTTGTGGTATCGCGCTCCGACCTCTCCCCCCGGTTTCTACGCGCCTTACCAGGTCAAGCTCGACAACGGCAGGCTTATCTTCGCGCCCATGGACGCCGACATCTGCATATGCGCACCTGGCGGCCGACTTGGAATTCCGACTCAGTCCCTGAGTCCCTTCTACTAGTAGCAATTTTAAGCCTCTACCAACCCCGGGGCCCGACCGCGCGCGCCGGTCGCGACGTCGTCCGCAGTCGCCCCAGCGAACGCAGACCCCCACGGCGGCGGACATTGTACGAATTAAAAACTATTATTGGCCGAGCCAGAAGACGGAGCCCGCGCCGACGGCCGCGGTGCCGACGCCGAAGATGCTGAGCAGCGGCCGCACGACGAGGCCGACGACGCGCCAGGGCGCCTCGGCGATGTCGACGACGCGCTCGAGCTCCCCCGCGGCGTTGATCGTCGCCAGGCTGAGGCCGCGGCTCAGGGGGAACGGCTCGCCGTTGAGCTCGACGTGCCACTCGACGCCGACGCTCCGCTCGCCGTCGCAGGCGACGTCGTCGACGACGAGCTCGAGGCGCCCCATGGGCAGGCCGAGCTGCGCCGACAGGAACGCGGGGTGGAAGGCCAGCGCCTGCGAGAAGCTCTCGCGGCCGCGGCAGATCGTCGACGCGCCGAGCAGGAGGTCTTCGTATACGACGTCCTCCGCGAGCAGCGACGCGACCCGCGGCGCGTCCCGGTCGTTGAACGCCTTGTACAAGCCGCGAATCGCGTCCCGCGGCCGCACGCGCTCCGCCTCGAGGGCCGGCCCCGCCTCGGCCTCGAGGGCCGGCCCCGCCTCGGCTTCGAGCGCCGCGAGCTCCGCGTCGATCGCGCGCCGCTGCTCCTGGAGGTGCGCGATGCGCTCTTTGTGGGGCGTCGCCGTTGGTAGTGTGATCGATGGGAATTTCAAGGGGCTCGCGACGATCAATGCGACAGCTAAGACCGCTCGTCGGAGCCCGATCTGTGGCCGGGCCATAGCTTCAGCCTTCTCCGCACTGTCGATGACGCGGTTGCCGGCCTGCTCGGCCGGCGCCGGCCCGTGCCGCCGCCGCACGACTCCGCCGCCGTTGACGCACGCGACGACCCCTACGCGCGGGTTCGGCGCACTCGTCCCGGGCCGGCTCCGGCGTCGACCGACTCCCATCGCACGCCGGCGCGCGGCAGCCGCTGCGCGCCGTCCGCGGCAGAGAAACGACTGCGCTGGATACGCCCCCTCGTTTGGGGCGCGACAGGGGCTTGAGGACTGGGACATGCCGGTTGTTGAGGCCGCTGGGAACTCGAGATGTACCACCGGCTGCAATCGCCGCGGCGGTAACTTGGCCGGGGATCTTCACGTTTGCTCATCGTGCTCGAGGCGCGATGCCGCGTCCTGGCACATTTCAAGCGAACGCGCGCGCGCGCACACAAACTATCGATCGACGCGCGCCGTCGCTGCCCCCCACCCCTACCCGACCTTCGCTCGAACTTTTGCGCCGACGGGCGCCATTTTTGAGGACCGCGCGACCGAGAACGAGCGTCGAACGGGGCGCGGCGCGTTCTACGCGACGGCGGCGGCCGTCGCGTCGGACGCGTCGCGCGTCGCGCCGCCGGCCGCCGCGGGCCCGGCGCCGGCGACGCCGACGCGCACCCGCGCGCGGCCGTGGAGGCCATCGACCCGCCCGACCCGCCCGCGCCGCCGAATACAACGCTTCCGTCCCCCGCCGCAGCTCTCATCCAGCTCGACTTCCTCCAAACTCGCTCTCTTCACTCCCACACACCTTCTCTCACAACCATGCGCGAGTGCATCTGCATCCACATCGGCCAGGGCGGCATTCAGGGCGGCAACGCCTGCTGGGAGCTCTTCTGCCTCGAGCACGGCATTCAGCCCGACGGCCAGATGCCCTCGGACAAGACCATCGGCGGCGGCGACGACGCCTTCAACACCTTCTTCTCGGAGACGGGCGCCGGCAAGCACGTGCCCCGCGCGGTCTACGTCGACCTCGAGCCCACGGTCTGCGACGAGGTCCGCACGGGCACCTACCGCCAGCTCTACCACCCCGAGCAGATCATCTCGGGCAAGGAGGACGCGGCGAACAACTACGCCCGCGGCCACTACACCATCGGCAAGGAGATCGTCGACCTCGTCCTCGACCGCATCCGCAAGCTCGCGGACAACTGCACGGGCCTCCAGGGCTTCCTCGCGTTCCACGCGACGGGCGGCGGCACGGGCTCCGGCCTCGGCTCGCTCATCCTCGAGCGCCTCTCCGTCGACTACGGCCGCAAGTCCAAGCTCTCCTTCTGCATCTCCCCGGCGCCGCAGATCTCCAACGCCGTCGTCGAGCCGTACAACTCCGTGCTCTCGACGCACGCGCTCCTCGAGCACACGGACGTGACCTTCTGCCTCGACAACGAGGCCCTCTACGACGTGTGCCGCCGCAACCTCGACATCGAGCGCCCGACGTACACGAACCTCAACCGCCTCTTCGCCCAGGTCGCGTCGTCGCTCACGGCGTCGCTCCGCTTCGACGGCGCGCTCAACGTCGACATCACGGAGTTCCAGACCAACCTCGTGCCCTACCCGCGCATCCACTTCATGCTCACGTCGTACGCCCCCGTCATCTCGGCGGAGAAGGCGTACCACGAGCAGCTGTCGGTCGCGGAGATCACCAACTCCGTCTTCGAGCCCGCGGGCATGATGACCAAGTGCGACCCCCGCCACGGCAAGTACATGGCGTGCTGCCTCATGTACCGCGGCGACGTCGTCCCCAAGGACGTCAACGCCTCCGTCGCGACCATCAAGACGAAGCGCACGATCCAGTTCGTCGACTGGTGCCCCACGGGCTTCAAGTGCGGCATCAACTACCAGCCGCCCACGGTCGTCCCCGGCGGCGACCTCGCCCGCGTCATGCGCGCGGTCTGCATGGTCGCCAACACGACGGCCATCGCCGAGGCGCTCTCGCGCATCGACCACAAGTTCGACCTCATGTACGCCAAGCGCGCCTTCGTCCACTGGTACGTCGGCGAGGGCATGGAGGAGGGCGAGTTCTCCGAGGCCCGCGAGGACCTCGCGGCCCTCGAGAAGGACTACGAGGAGGTCGGCGCCGAGACGGCGGAAGGCGAGGGCGAGGAGGAGGACTTCGGCGAGGAGTACTAGGCGCACCCGCTACCCCAAGACACCGCGGCCCCCCGCGCGCCCCGACGTCGCGCGGCCCCCGCCCGGCAGTCGCGCGGTGCCTCGGCCTGAGCAGCCGTCGCACTGCGCGCGCCCCGAACGAAGCGCCGTACTAAGCCGTACCCGCGCACATACCCCGGGGAGAAAGCGGGCGACTCGCCGGACGACGCGGCGACAGGGGAAGGCGCCTTGGCTCGCTGGAGGTTGGAATCCGCCTCTGCGCCTTCGGGGGCGCCCGACCCCCGGCCGAAGCGCCGTCCGGAAACCCCCGGCGCGAAAATCTCGGCCAAGGCACCCTCGGCACCTGGGGGGAAGTAAACTTGGGGGTTGTTGGTTGGAGCGACGTCGAAAATTCCCAGCGAAGGTGGGTTCGGCCAAGGGAACGCCGCGGCTCGTTCGGGGGGTCGCCCGCC